GATTTCCAATTTTCAGCGAAGACGATGTAAAATGTCTTTGGCAATGTTATTTTTGTTCGCTGGCTTATTTCTCCAAAACTTGCACACGCCGTACCATTCACACTTCGCAATGACTCAAACGAAGTTGAACCGTGAACATTAATCGAATGTAGAAACCATCGTCATTTACGGGTGGATTGTATAAATTCGTCCTAAGGAATTAGTTGAGAACGCTAACTATGCGTACTATTTCTTCGACGAAGCATTCCATGTATGTCAAGATATTTCCTATTAGAGCAATGTTCTCGCAGAGAGATCACTTTCGAAAGGTGAGAAAAAACTCGTAAATGTTAATTTTGTTGCTGGCGGTGTTTTCATTGACTATACTGTATTTTCTGAGTTGAAATATACTCTTTGGCCATTCTCCAAATAAACTGCGAGACTCACAACGGTCGGAAAACGTTCATGAATTGCAAAAGTAAATATCCTACAAAGCGCTTTATTGCAGTTCACGTATCGACCATTTGATACTTGCTGATCTCATCTCGTTCAAGACCAACAACCGCCATGTTGCTTCCTTTAGTGACGTACTTACATATTTTATCGATTAAACTAAACTGCAAAACTCAACATTAATATGACTTTTGAATGTGAATTAGTGGTGAATATAGTACGATCCATGAGTTGTCAATTTCGAAATTCATTTTTCTAAATTAAGTGCTGAATGTACTGCCATTGTCGTCTGGTGAGCTACGCTGATAGAATGGATATAAGTCATTTCTAGTTTGTGTTTCCGAAAGAAAAGCACGTATATAGTGTTTCGTGCATTTATTGTCAGTGGAAATTTATTGTCCAAGTGGAATTGTGGTGTTCGCAAAGTCCATGAACCATAGTGGTTTTCACCACTTCGTATAATACTGGATCTTTCTCTACATCAGGAATTTCCGCAGAAATGAGTCCATCAATTTGATCTGGTATTACCACCATCCAAAGAAGAATGTTTACTTGCGGCAAACCTCTTTTTTGCCACTCAACAGAGGAAATCTAGCATCCAACAGCACCATCAAACATCGTAAATGTTGTTTGAAAAGTTGTGCTATGATATCGTGACGATCGATTGTTGATTGACCGCGATCCATAMTTCCGCACGTACATATGTCATCGCATCCTGGTAGTGCTTCTTACCTTGCCTTGCTTTGGGCTGCCAAACAAAAATTAAAAAATATGTGTATGGAAAAGAGTTACTTTTTGGAAACTATCCAATTTTCCGACCTTCCACAATCCCGATCTTCTTCCCGATCCACAACGAATAACCTCTGAAAATTTCATCAATATTGATGCAGCCGCTCTCTTAGCGTTACTAACAAACAAACAATCGTTCGTTTGTATGGGAAAAAGAAAAGGGCTGTTTTCAGGAGTTTCCCGGAAATTATTCGAAATTTTGAACCTCAACGGCCGCATTAAAAAAAGAATTATCAAATTTGGTTCAGTCGTATGAAAGTTATGAGCGTACATACGTTATGGCGATTAATTTTTATTTGTATAGATAAAAATTTCACTGTATTGTTTATTATACATATGAATAATAGTCTATCCATTCTTTGCAAGCTGAAACTTGAGTAAAAATTGAGATATCTCGATGAAACTTGGTATTCCTTAGTACAAAAAATATTTCCAGTTCGTAGATGGGCGTAAGCGGACCCCCACAAATCGTCATCAACCGAAAACTTATAAACTACTTTGACTAAGCACTAAATTAAGATATAAAATTCTTCTCTTTGGCACAGGGGATCTCTTAAACCACCAATTCCATATCAAATATATAAGGGTAATTAAAAATCAGGGACAATCCTTTTCTGACAATCATATGYCTGTATGTCAAAAATAGATTCAATTAGACCAATRCTTCCCTTAGCCCTTATATACCTTACATAAAGATTTTCGAACTTCCCGGTGACTTTGTACCGCATATATTRGACAATATGTGAATTATCTCAACGAAAATAAGAGAGCGTATTTTACTCATAACAGTTTTTCTTTGTCCCTAACATAAACAAAATATTAGGTTGTCAAAAAAGTCTTGCGGTATTTTTATTGAACCATTTTAAAAACCATCCTTGAACCCCAACGGCCGCATTAAAAAAAGAATTATCAAATTTGGTTCAGTCGTATGAAGGCTATGATTAGCTTAGCGATTAATTTTTATTTATACAGATTTATTGTATCTAATATGCCATTATGCATAATATAGTAGAAATGTGTCGGAATAGGGTGAATAAGAATAAAAACAAGAAAAACATTAACTTCAATTGCACCGAAGCTAAATACCCTTCACAGGTGCATTTCTAATAGTAATTATGTGTTCAGTTTGTATGGAAGCTATATACTATAGTAATCCGGTCTAAACAATTTCTTCGGATATTACATTGTTGCCTTAGAAAATAATCTATACCAAATTTCCTGAATATATCTTGTCAAATGTGAAAGTTTTCCATACAAGAACTTGATTCCGATCGTTCAGTTTGGCAGCTATATTTATAGTGGTCCGATATCGGCAGTTCCGACAAATGAGCAGCTTCTTGAAGAGAAAATGACGTTTGCAAAATTTAAAAACGATATCTTAAAAACTGAGGGACTAGTTCGTATATATAATATGCAGACAGACGGAAATGGCTAAATGGCTCAGCTCGACATACTGATCATTTATATATATACTTTATATGGTCTCCGACAATCCCTTCTGGGTGTTACAAACTTCATGACAAACTTAATATACCTTATAAATGTTTTTTTGCACCGCGTACAACAATTTAAGGTTATGATATGAAAGGAAAGCTCGAGTTGACTCGTCTCACTCTTGTGAACACAAGAGGGATACCAAGCGAATTTGAAGAGTCCCCATGTGAACACAGTCTTTGCATTTTTCCTCTTATTTAAATATGTACTGTATGTTTATCAAGTACTCGGTTATTTAACACCCGATATAGATATAAATACACATATGTACATATATGTACATATGCATTGCACAAATAAAAGCTACTGTATTTACATAAATTTGTATTTACACATAGTAAGCACACAAAGCGTTTAGAGCTTAGCGCAGTAGCTCTCCTCGATTATACACTAGTATTTGTATACATTTTTCTTTGAAGTAAAGTGTTAAATAAAAGAGTTGGCAACGCTGTTTGCAATGCATAAGCTCGCTCATCAGCGAAAGTTAACTCAATAACATTTAGGAATTTTAAGTGACAACAATTTTGCGGTGTGCATTAAATACAAAAGTGTTTTGTGCATTATTTAGAAGCACACATACATACGCATGGCTCACTTTTACGTGCTCAGAAATTGCTTATGGTAAAATTATGTCACTAAAATCAGAGGTCTTTGACACACTTAACGTCTGCTTTGATCATAAATATAATAAAACAAAAAAATATTAACTTCGGTTGCACCGAAACTATAATACTCCTTAAAAGATTCCATACAAGAACTTTATTCTGATCCGTCAGTTTGTATGGCATCTACATATATGTATGTAACATTGTTTCGATCTGCCCAATTCGTCGGAGGTTATTACCTTAGACGGTAATTCATACCAAATTTCTTGAAGATATCTTGTCAAATAAAATAATTTTCAAAAACTTGTTTCCCATCGTTCTATGCTATTCTTGAAGAAAAAAGAACATGCAAAAAGATTCTGATTGGTATCTAGAAAACTAAGAAAATAGTTTACATATACTTATACATGCAGACAGACCGACATGGCTTAATTGACCGAGCTCGTCACCCTGATACATACATATATATATATTTATAGATGTTTAAAGTTTCGAGGCAAATTTAATAAAACGTGTTTAGGATATAATAATGTCTTGGGCAATGTATACCATTTTTCATATTATACTAGTTAAATTTTATCTTCAGGAGTAATTATTTACGCAAAATTATAACTCGTATAAATCAATATTAATAAGCCAAAATATCTCTAGAAATTGTTTAGAATTTAATATTTGGCAGAAAATACCGGGTTCGCATCCATGTAAAATAGTTCTCACTCACCCTTAAATTTGCTGATTTTCTCTTGAAACAATTTGAAAACTATAACGATTTTTTTTAAGAAAATCATCTTCTCCGATAAGGCTCACTTTAATATGAGTGGTGCGGTAAATAAAAAAATGTTCGATTCTGATGCGAAGAAAATCCACAAGTTATTCATGAATAACCATTACATTTACCTAAACTGAGCGTTTGGTGTGGTTTTTAATCTGGTGGAATCAGCGGTCCGTAATTCTTTCGAAATGAAGCCGGTGATACCGTTATCATTAATGGATAGGAGCATAAATCAATGATAACCAACTTTTTATGACCGTGATAGGAATAAGTAGATCTTGACAATATCTGGTTCCAAGAAGACGAGGCTACGTACCACATAGCACGTGCATCACTCGAATTGTTGCGAGAAAATTTTAAAGATTCGATTATTCCAAGAAATTGTGATATGACTACTTCTTGGGGCCATACTCTCTTCAAATCTTCAAAGTCAATATTGAACGTGTTATTCATGACATATTAATCGAAGAAGTGCTCGAAAGTTATTCATCGAATTCATTCCTGCAAAAAATCCGTGGAGAATGACGTTATATTCAGAACTTAATTGTTCTTCTCATTAAATAAAAAACAGTTGAATATTCTTAATAATCATATCACTCTTATTGGCAAACCCGGTATTACACTTTGGTGCAATTAAAAACGTATACCAGAAATTGCTCATATCATTAGCTTAAATACGGCGATTAAAAATTATCTTCTGCCCTAGAAACACCTTACCTTATTCAATTGCTCCGAATTGTAGCCAGCCACCAGGAACAATATATTCGAACAGACGTCCTGTGTCATTGCGTTGTCGTGGCACACCACTTGGGTGTGATCTACAAACAATTTTGTATTGGGCATAAATTCAGTAATGCGTAGCATACGTGTCGCTGCCTGAAAGTAGTATACTATAAAATTTCGGATCCGAAAGTTGCCTCAATTAGTTTTTAAAGAAATTTCAGAACAAAGTACCGTTAAAAAGTCTAAAAACACAACCAATGTTCGAAAAAGTGGACTCTTCATATCAGAAATGAACGCTATGGGAGCTAGAGCGTGCATCGATAGTATTTTTTGTGTATAGGAAGGCTGCTCGGAACACAGAACCCAAAAGACTGCAGTGCCCTGCGGAAAGGAAATAAAATTATTGAAAAAAAAAAAACTGTTGGAAGCCAGGAGAAAAAAGGCAAAATCGTCTATGTTAATTTACCTGCGAGTGTCCTATATAGTGCAGCTGTTCGTAACCTGTTTTGCTGAGGATATAATCAATATTTGCCGGTAAATCATATTTGCCCATTTCGTGAAAGGTGAAATCCCAGAATTCCTGGTAATCGCTATTAAGGCTCGTGTGATTCTTCGAATATCGATTGCCACGCGCATTGCCCATCCATATGTCGTAACCGAGATCCGATAGCATGTAACCTAAGTGCAATGAGTACAGATCAATGAGATGCGGAGAAAGAGAAATTGGAAATAGAAAAATGTGAGGTGTTAGTTATCAAACAACCCATACACAAACGTAAGTATGTAGCACACAAGACACATGGAAACAAATTGGGATGATATTTAAATAAGGCAATTATGACAATGTTGCTCAAACGAAGTGAATGACTGGAAATTGAGTGGACTACCTTGGCAAAAATACAATAAATGTAGAACGCAGTCGAAAAAAAAGTGTAATGTAAAAAAAAGTTGGAGAATGAGAAAAGCTTATTTGCACTTTGCGCTACAGGAACTTACCCAACCCTGATTTTGGTCCCATCAGCACCCATGTGGCCGAGGTGTCCAATATGCCATGCATCAGAAGCACTGGCTGGGCGCCACGTTTTGGTATGCGATGCATCTCTAGAATATAGCCATCCTTTGTCACCACAGTATGTGTCTCCGATGGGTAACCGTACTTGCGTATCAATTTCGGCTAAAAAGAGTTGAAGGAAATAGTACAAAAATGAGTAAACGTGTTTCGGAGCTTTTGGTTTGCAACAGATAGCAAATTTGTATTTTAGGTTAACATCATAATTAATAACCACCACTTATAATATGTTTCAATATGTTTGCTTTTCAATTGCAAGTTGAAAAATTTTATATTTGACGTAAAATTTAATTACATTGCAAAAAGTTACTATCTAGACTAACACAGCACTGGGCCGAAAATCTGTTATTCAAAAGGAAAATCTGAAATATTTATCTTAATTTTTCCATGTACCCCATGTTATGAAATACTTAGATCACATAAAATATATCTGATAGGAGTGAACAATTATGCCAACAATTAAAAGGTGAAAATTAAAACCTTAAAGAACAAAATAGGAGCCCAATTTTTATTTTCAACCACACCACGAAACTGAGTTTTTATCGCAACTATCGAGTGTCAAAAAAAATGATATTTTGTTTTTGAAAAGTATCTAATATATAATCATTATAAATTATCAATAATACACTCTACACTTCCTCAATAGTATTCAACCAGATAATACAAAAATTGCAGCAATCACCAACTAAATGGTTTCAGCTTAAGAAAGCACTTAGATTCGACTTAACTGCAGCCGAAGTGTTAAAGCTTTTACCGTACCAAGGATTACTAAAGCTCGCCTATCATTTAATTCATCAATACGCCTGTTACCTTTTCCAAGATTTTAGAAAGTTGGTTCCTAATCTATTGATTTTATTTCATAAATCTTAACACTTTTTGAAAGAATATTTCTCCAAAAGTTAAAATCCATGAATCAGTTCAGTTCATTATTTCGCATCAGTTCGGGTTCAAAAATATTCATTCCAATTTTTTGGTCATAAAGTAACATACCTTAACTTTAGCAATCGCCAAACAGTATGACTGTCACTTTGGAACTGTTGGAAAACAGCAGGAAAAGCTGCGCTAAATCTGCGACATACAATCAAATTGATCTTAACTTTGGAAATGATCAACGAGGGTCAGACATAATGAATACGACCAAACGAACAAATTATCAAACCAATATAGCCACATAGCGCTTAATTATAGGGTTAACGCCAATAACAACAATTAAGGATGGAAGAATGTAAGAATAATGCCACCCACTAAATTTTGTCGAAATTGGTTGGTTCGATCCCGAGATATGGGAGTTCACCAAAAAGCTCTCTCATACCATCTCGGTTACATCACTGTCGATAAGATTTGTACTAAGTAAGTACTTTCGAAGAAGTTATAGACACAGTTTTTGAGGATTCTTCTGCTTTGCCATTATTTTTTACAAGCAGTGCTGTCTTCTACAGCGTTGCTAACCAGGTTACTAGCCACTGCGAATTATTCGAAATATAAAAATTGACTCTCGGAAACTGACAATTGTAATAAATAATATTTCTCTTCAGAGCTTCTGAAATATTTGGACTTTTTAATACAAAAATATGAAAACAGAAAATGGTTTGAGAATTCTGGTATTCCAAAATTCCGAATATTACTAATAAATTATACGAAAAATACACCGAAAATAAACGGTTATTTAGCTTTTTATACTCTTGCAAACTGTTGCTACAGAGTATAATAGATTTGTTCATCGAACGTTTGTATGTATCACCTAAAACTAATTGTGATAAATATAGGGTTATTTACAGGGTTTGTTCGGAGAGTAATAGGACTGCTTTTCTTTCACCGCGACTGAACTTCGGAGCATACGCGCACTGATTAGATTCGGTAAAGGGCGTTCCTAGCTAACGAACGAGCAGCTCGATGCGGTTGTCTCTGAGCTCCTGGAGAGTAAGGACAAACTGTGTGAAACTAGGTAAATCTGCGACAGAGACGATTTATATGATCAAGCGGGCTTACCCAGATGTTGCTTTAGCAAGAAGTGGGGTGTTTTCTTTTTGTAGGGCCGGGAAGAGGTCGCTGATGAATGAGCAAATGCTCATTGTATTTTTTGACATCAAAGGCATCGTCCACCAAGAACCTGTTCCGACCAGGCATCGCAGCCGATTGGAAGTTGCACCGCGACAATGCTTCGGCTCACAGCGCCTTTCTTGTGAACTGCTACCTAACCAAGGCCGGCATCCCAACGCTTCCGCAGCCGCCCTACAGCCCAGATGTGGCCCCCTGGATTTTTTTTCTTTCTTGCCTGAAAAGACCGATGAAAGAGGACAGCAGCATGCGCCTCAGCTCTCAGGGCTGTTCCGGAGAATGATGAATTTCAAGTAGATTGCGTGTATACAGATTTCTTTAAAGCCTTTGATAAAGTTTCACACAATATTAAATTTTCACTCTGTCTCTTGCAGTGGATTAATTTATCTTTGCCTAATAGATGTTGTATTGTTATTGCTAATGGGGATGACGAAGTTGTTTAGGTCCTCTTCTTTTTGTGCTGTTTATCGAGAGCATTTCCAGTTGTTTTTCTTTTGCTAAATTTTTGTTGTATGAATAAAATTTTTCACAGTAACTAGTCAAAAACTCCGAGGATGTAACTAAACTTCAATGTGATATTGCTGGTTTTTATGATTGGTGGCTGAAAGTGCAGCTTTTTCTGAATATGGATAAATGTTCTCAAATCTCGTATGTGAGGGAACGTAGCATCTTACCTTCTAGTTACAATGTTTTAAATTGCGTCCTAAAATATGTAACTGAAATCAGAGATCTTGTGGTTATCTTGGGCAATTTTTCTAGGGCTTTTTCCGTTGATATGTCATGCTTCCCATTTTTCTTTTTGTTAGTTCTATCTTGGAGTATGCTGTGCTCATTTGGAGACCATTGTCTTTAGTCAATTAATAGAATTAAACGCGTTCAATATATTTTTCTTAAATTTGTCCTCTGCTACTTGAAGTTTGTTGAACCCATATCGGCGTATACATCTCGTTCATTGAATTTGCGTCTTAAATTATTTGAAAATTAACGGTCCGTTCTCTGCCTTTCATTTGTTTTTAATTTAATTAATGGATTGTAAAAATAAAATATTTCCGAACGTGTTTTGCTCATAACAGTATACAAGGCGCATTCCAAAGTAAACAGGACTTAAACAAAAGCAGAACAAATATGAATGACCTCTACGTCTGCATAACACTTTCTTTTCATGAGCACGGTGTCATATCAGGTGAATACGGGAAATGAGTTAATGGTTAAAATGTGATTTTTGGTCAAATAATCGGTCATAAGAGTCGATCGACGAGACGGATTCTGAGCAATTTTTGATCTTCAGTCAATATGTGCAGAACAAACCGTGCATACGTCTTTCGTAAGGCCAAATGTTCGGTAAAAATGCCAAAAATCGGTGTCTTGGAGATGTTCAATTCCATTTTCATGAATTTCAATAATGATTTCGGCTGATTTTTGATGAGTTCACTCACAGTTTCGATGGATTTTGATTGGTCCACATGTTGATCGTCATTTATGTCCTCACGACCACTTTGAGAACGTTGAAACAACTCGTGCACTCTATTACGGGATAGTCAATCATCGCCATAAACTTGTTTCATAAATTTAAACGTTTCGGTAAAAGTTTTACTAATTTTAAAACAAAATTTAATGTTGGCTCTTTGTTCGGCTTAAGCGATTTAGGAGATATTAGAAGACTGGGCCACACCACAGGTACCACTCATCAGTGGAACACTCTGCACAAAATTACAGTTTTATACCTTAATTTGGGGCTTAGTTATGTCATTTTACATATTTCGATTCAGCATTCATTGTTCGACGGAATTGTGAATGAATTACGAATGCAATCAAATTTGGTATTTTTTATTATAGATCATTGACTTTTTTTGTTGAGTAAATAGATTTTATTCCTCATCTTTTAAAATTATAAATATAAAAATCATCCTCAAATGAGATATATCTGACATAAAATTTAATTTATTGAGTTGGTATGCAAAACGTTAACCAGAAGATCGAAATAGATATTAGAAGAATGAAATTAACACCAGCCAGATGAAATTCATTCATGATCAGCGCTAACCCATGATTATAAAAAGGTTTGTTTGAAAATCCTGATATTAGCTATATGGGAGATAGGTCAAATTTTCACGATTTTATCTATTTTAAGGACAAAGATTTATCGTTCGTAGAATATATCACATATGGAGTTGAAGATAATTCACATATTGGCCGATATATGAGAATAAAGTCACCCGGAAGGTCGAATATGTTTTATTCGATATATGGGACTAAAGGAAATATTGACCCGACTTAACCTGTTTTTAACACACTATTATCAGGAAAAGATTATTTCCTTACTTCAATTACAAACATTGACCGATTTCGGCAAAAATTCAGACCTAAACAAAAACCAACTACGGTTGAAAGTAGGTCCGAAGATATGAGATTTCACCCAAATGTTGGTAGTACCACTTCCATAATACAATTTATCTAACCCATTTAGTTATTGATTTATCGCACTTTGGTAATTTTTAACAAAACCTGTGCAAATTTGGGTTATATTGTACGTGGAATGATTTCGGAGGTACAAACAGTAAACACGGCGGGCCCCCGCCAACTTTTTACACATTTTCAAAGCACAGTTGCCCACCGTTACAAATTACACTTTTGTATTCTTTCAGAAACAAAGTGCCTGAAATCAATAGTAGAGGAATATAAAAGCTACTTATTAGAAAGCAATCACAACCTATAGAAGAGAGCAAACAAGAGAGCACCTCACAAAAAAGGAATCACTCTATCACAGAAATACAAAAAACTGCTAAAAAAACCTAGGCGGAGTGAAGGTGAATACAGCAGCACAACAAGGGCAAGGCATTTCCAGGGATAGCCTGCAAGTGGCCATCATAGATGGAAATTCCTCCAATAAGAGTATTAGAAATCCTCAGAAACTAGATTCAGAAGTAGAGAAGTTGGAAAAAATCTTAACCACAACTTTCAATAAATCCACTCCGCCAACAGTTCTGAAAAAGAGAAAGTCTCTTCTTTGGTGGAACAGTGAACTCAAGAATAAAGATACAAAAAAG